ATATACGGCCTGTGAGAAGCAGCCCTGCAGCCCCCAAGGTCAGTGCAGCAGGCCTGCGGGCTGTGGAGAGGCCCCTGGTGGAGCAGGCTGTCCCCCTGCAGCCCATGGGTCCCGCATGGAGCAGATCTCCACGCTGCAGCCCCCCCATGGGTGGAGGAGCCCCCGGTGGAGCAGGTGGATGTGGCCTGGAGGAGGCTGCGGCCCATGGAGAGCCCCCGTAGGAGCAGGCCCCGGGCCAGAGCTGGAGCCCGTGGAGAGGAGCCCACGCAGGAGCAGGGGGCCTGGGGGAGCTGCCACCCACCCATGGGGGACCCGTGCTGGAGCAGTTTGCTCCTGGGGGTTGGATGGACCCCGTGGGACAGAGCCATGTGGGAGAAGTGCATGAAGGACTGTATCCTATGAGAAGGACCCCATGCTGTAGGAAAGCATGAGAAGGAGCACAGAGAGGAGCTGATAGGGACTGACCCCAGCCCCCTTCTCCATCCCCCTACACCACTTGAGATAGGAGGATGAGGAGTCAGGAATGAAGGAGCTACATCTGAGAAGGAGGGGTGGGCAGTAGGAGGTAGGGGGGAAGGTGCTTTTAGATTTCTTTTTATTTCTCACCAACCTACTTTTTCAACTTTAAAGAGAATAATTAAATTATTTTTCCTCTGTTTGGGTATTTTTTGCCTGTGGTACTAACTGTTACGTGATCTCCCTGCCTTTGTCTCAACCCCCAAGCCTTTTTATTGTGTTTTCTCCCTCTGTGTTTTTGAGGAGGGGGAGTGAGAAAGTGGCTGGGTGGGGCTGGCAGCCAGCCAAGGTGGTACAATGAGAGGCACCTTTTTGTTGTACCACCGTGGCAGTGCAAGGAGAGGCCCCTAATTTAACCAGTGTATGTTTTATAGTCAATTTCAGCATTTCAAAGCTGCAATTCACTCCATGCCTATTTTTTATTCTGTAATTAGTGCTAGCTGCCAGCCCATTTCTTGGAAGAAGTTTGTCCCAGGAGGACCTTGATCGTGCAGTACAGGCATGGTTTGCTCAAATTAAGCTTATTTTAAACTCACCTGAAGAAAAAAAAAGCCCCCTCCCGACCCAGGCACAAAACAAGCAGCACAGAGAATCTAGGCAAGAACATTTACTGTCTCAAAATTTTACAATAGAGGGAAATGCCACTAGTGATGACTACAGAAATAAAAATGCAAATTTCTGGACTGTAGCACCTCTTTCCTTATGGAATGTTAATGCAGCAAAGTCACAGTCTTCATAAAATCATAGAACCACTGAGGTTGGAAAAAACCTCCAAGATTATCTGGACCAACCATCCCCCTACCACCAATATCACCCACTAAACCATGTCCCTAAGCACCATGTCCAACACCTCTAGGGATGTTGACTCCACCATATACCCAGGCAACATGTTCCAATGCCTGACTGCTTTTTCTGAGAAGAAATGTCTCCTAATTTCCAACCTAAACGTCCCCTGAAGCAACTTAAGACTATCCACTGTAGTCCTATCACTAGTTATCTGTGAGAAGAGGCCAACCCCCACCTCCCCACAACTTCCTTTCAGTTGTCGTAATGAGTACTGAAGTGTCCCCAGAGTCTCCAGACTAAACACCCCAGTTCCCTCAGCCACTCCTCTTAGGACGTGTGCTCCAAGCCCTTCACCAGCTTCGTAGCCCTTCTCTGGACATGCTCCAGGGCCTCAGTATCTTTCTTGTAGTGAGAAGCCCGAAGCTGAACACAGCACTTGAAGTGCGGCCTCACCAGAGCTGAGTACAGAGGGACGATCACCTCCCTGGTCCTGCTGATTACACTACTAATAGAAGCCAGGATGCTGTTGGTCTTGGCCAGCTGGGCACACTGCTGGCTCATGTTGAGGTGAGCATCATTCAGCACCCCCAGATCTGCACAGCTTTCCAGCTACTCTGCCCCAAGTCTGTAGCGCTGCATGGGGTTGTTGTGGCCAACATGCAGAGACCTGGCACTTAGCCATGTTGAACCTCATCCGTTTGGCCTCTGCCCATCGACCCATCCTGTCCAGGTCCCTCTGCAGGGGCCTTCCTACCCTCCAGCAATCAACACTTCCCCCCAGCTCAGTGTCATCTGCAAACTTACTGAAGGTGCACTCAATTCCTTATCCAAGTCATCAATAAAGATACTAAAGAGGAAGTCCTTTAAAACAGGATTCAATAATGAGATTAAGAACTTCTACCTTCCTGGCATTAGATATTAGGATCTAACATCTTTTGTAGTTATTGATCTGAACTATCCACAAGAAACAGCGATATTCAGAGAAGTGATCTTTTTTAAGGTTAGCAGAGAAGCTATGAACATTACAAATGCTACATAGACGTCAGGCTTTTCAAACCAGAAACTTTTATTTCCTTAACATTGGTAAATTTCAGAGGTACAAGAATAAGCAGTGAGCATTAGGTTAAAAAATTATTTGCATCTCAAACTTATGACAGAACATAAAGAGAAAAAACACAAGCTTTAAAACATTGTATATTCTTTATATTTTCCAGGAAAAAGTCTAAAAGCCTGGAGGCAGCTGTCAAGTGACAAATGAGATGCTAGTGTCAATTTAGAGCACGCATACCTATGAGACAGAATGTCCTCCTAGCAGAAATACATTTAAGCTGTATTCTCCTGAACCATAACTATGTAAGTGCACAGAAAACTCTGTCCTTGAAACTTAATCTGAAGTATGTTTTTATATGCCTTTTTCTCACTAGATTGCCAGTATTACCATGGTTATCAAATATTCACATACAGATGGCTTTCGTGCAACTGAGTCAAGATTTACAACAAAATCAGTGATATATTTAAAATTTCCCACATATGACTTTGCTTTTTTTTCACTTTTTTTTTTTTTTTAACTCTTCCAGTTGTTTCATTGGCTTCCTTTATCAGTACTTCCAAATTTTTGAATTAAATCTCTATCTTTTGTTTGTTTGTTTTGTTTTTTGTTTCACAGCTGCCACAGTGTCACATCTCTTAACAGTTTATCCCACAGCAGGGAGGTCAACTTCTGCATCGTCATCTAAGCATTCCAGCTTCAAGGTTAGAATCATAGAATCATTAAGATTTGAAGAGACCTCCAAGATCATCTGGTCCAACCATCCCCCTGCTGTCAATATTGCCTACTAACCCAAGTCGCTAATTACCACATCCAACCTTTCCTTAAACACCCCCAGGGATGGTGACGCCACCAGCTCCCTGGGCAACCTGTTCCAATGCCTGACTATGGAACAAAAGAAGAAGAGCAAAAACCAGGTGGAAACCCACCTCGCCCATTTTCTTTCAGGATCAGTTGACAAAGACTGTACATGTAAATGTACTGTAACTGAAATGCACTCACGGAAACTGCACGAAGCTGCAATAAAAAATTATGAGTTTTTTTGCCAGCATGGCAAAGGATTAGCCTCTCTAGTGTCCATCTACCAGGAGCTATACTATGTACCTGTTGCAAAAAGTCGGAGAATAGCAGATTTCTAAACGTCATATATTTTTCTGAAATAACTGCTTTCAGTAAATATTTAATGCTTTTTTCCCTCACCCCTCCCTTCCATTGGAAGTAGAACGGGAAACTTCTGTTTCTGCAGCAAAATACAGTCTCTAGTGCTTTATTGATTTTCGTCCAACACACTTCTTTGCCTTGTAGTTGTGAATAATAAGTGAAAATGAAAGAAAATGTTTGCCCTCGAAGTTTACCTTTTGTAAACCCAAATCACCCTTTCATAAATACTCTTTTGCACTGCAATGGCATTACAGTGCTTTGCAGACACTTTAACAAAAGAACAATACTTAAATTTACTCTACCTACGACTTCTCTTATTATTGTAATTTACGCATTTACATGCAGATAGGGAGTCTTCAGCCGTAACCGCAAAGCGTTACTGTCCGTGTTTTCCCATGGACAAATGGGAAACCTTGTCTCCTTGCCCCGAGATTTCTCACTCCCTCGGGAGCCTGTCACCAACCTCTGGATTTCCAGAAAAAGCACCTTTTTAGTAAGTACCGTGCTCTAGCCAGAAGATAGCAGTTACAGACAGGTCTTCTTTTTTTTTTTTTTTTTTTCACCTCTCTTGGGAAAAGGTAGGGATTGCTAAATTTGTGTGTAGTTAGTTACACACAGTTCCTCAACCCAAGAGGTATGCATATAAGAAAAAATTTCTTGACAACACGGAATCGCAAATTTCAGGCCCTGCAGGCCATTTCCATTTCAGTGGTCACCTACCACTGTCCGCCCGTACTAGCCTTGAAAGCAATTTCTTTTCTGGTGAGCTTTCAGCCCCTTGATCCTGCTTATCGTGCAAATGCACGAACCCCCGGTGGGAGCTCACAACTGGGTTGAGGAATGGGCAGGAGAGACCTCTCAGGCATGCCTCGATCTGCCAAGTCCTATCGCAGAGATTCCTGGGATTTTTCAGTGCTGCGAGCACTACTCAAACTGCTGCAGATGCAGCGCTCGGTTTGTTGTTTTTAGCGAGGGAGGTGATTTCTCTGAACTCCCAATTTCTTTGGAATCGAATTTCTTGTTTGCTTTGTAAGTCCTTTCATGGCTTATGATGTATCAGGGAGGCACCCCCAAACCTCACCTTCGTATTTCGGCGCTCCCCAAACCCTGTTGGACGCGTTTTATCTT